CCAGCTCCAGCTCCAGCTCCAGCAGCACCTCCAGACTCAGCAGCACGCCTCCAGCGGCGAGCGAACCACTCGCGCAGCTCCTGTGGAGAGAGGGGCTCCCGGCGAGACGCAGCAGCAGGAGAAACCCCAGGCTCAGCAGCTCCAGACGCAGCACCCCCAGGCTCAGCAGCTCCCGACCCAGCACCCCCAGACCCATCCACCTCCAGGCACAGCACCCCCCTGCTCAGCACCCCCAGGCTCCGCACTCTCCGTAGTAGCACCCGCAGGCCCAGTACCCCCCAGCAGTAGCACCCCCAGGCTCAGCACCCCCGCGCACAGCACCCCCAGAGTCAGCACCCCCAGGCTCAGCACCCGCAGCAGCACCAGAGTCACCTGTAACCTCGACCGGGTCGACGGCGTCTACCTGGGACACACCTGAGGGGGCAGGAACCTGAGGGGGGAGGGGGTCTACCGGGGGGGGAACCGGTACAAGGAAGTCCGGGGGAGGGGGGAGGGAAGGAGTGCGGTAGGGGAAGAGACGGTAGAAGGGGACTGACTCGTCGAACGTGACGTCCTGGGAGGACAGAAACACGACGAGAGGAGGGGTGGTAAAACTGCCACCCTGGGGCGTCAGTGGGGAAGCCAAGGAAGACACAGGGAGCAGCACGAGGGGACAGCTTGTCCGCAGACAAGTCGCGGACAAACGCCCGAGATCCCCAGACACGGAACACAGACGCATCGCCAACCTTCCCTGTCCACAGCAAGGCTGGGGACATCGCAGGCCGAGAGACCCGGGGGTGAAGGTTGAGCTGATGCGCCGCGTACCTCACCGCAAACGGCCACAGAAAATGGGGGGCAGCCGCATGCATCATGGACGTACGAGCGACATCCATGACCACGCCAATGCGGCGCTCAGCAATCCCATTTTGCTATGGTGAGTCCGGAAGCGTGAAGGACTGGCGGATGCCTTGCGCACGACAGTAGGCACGCAGAAGGCCAGAGGGAGAACTCTCCGCCTCTGTCCGAGTGCAGACGCAGAACAGGAAAGTCCGAGCCGAAGCTCTTCCTGAGCCGGAGACGAGCCTCGCGGATCCAGTCGATCAGCACCTCAGTGACCTCACCCTTGCTGCGCAAGGGGAGGACTGTGGTGTAACGCGAGTAGTCGTCAACCACCAACAGGAAGTAGCGCTCGTAATCCTGCCCACGGACGGGGGAGGGGGGAGGGAAGGAGTGCGGTAGGGGAAGAGACGGTAGAAGCGGACTGACTTGTCGAACGTGACGTCCTGGGAGGACAGAACACGACGAGAGGAGGGTGGTAAAACTGCCACCCTAGGGCGTCAGTGGGGAAGCCAAAGAAGACACAGGGAGCAGCTCGAGGGGACAGCTTGTCCGCAGACAAGTCGCGGACAAAACGCCCGAGATCCCCAGACACGGAACACAGACGCATCGCCAACCTTCCCCGTCCACAGCAAGGCTGGGGACATCGCAGGCCGAGAGACCCGGGGGTGAAGGTTGAGCTGATGCGCCGCGTACCTCACCGCAAACGGCCACAGAAAATGGGGGGCAGCCGCATGCATCATGGACGTACGAGCGACATCCATGACCATGCCAATGCGGCGCTCAGCAATCCCATTTTGCTGTGGTGAGTCCGGAAGCGTGAAGGTCTGGCGGATCCCCCGTGCACGACAGTAGTCCCGCAGAAGGCGAGAAGAGAACTCTCCGCCTCTATCCGAGTGCAGGACGCAGAACAGGAAAGTCCGAGCCGAAGCTCTTCCTGAGCTCGAGACGAGCCTCGCGGATCCAGTCGATCAGCACCTCAGTGACCGCACCCTTGCTGCGCAAGGGGAGGACTGTGGTGTAACGCGAGTAGTCGTCAACCACCAACAGAAAGTAGCGCTCGTAACCCTGCCCACAGACGGGGGCTGGGCCCCACACATCCATGTGAAGCGTCTGCAGGGGAGCCTCTGTCGGGGGGAAGTGGGAGGAGTGAGGAGTAGCTCGGAGGCGACCCTCGACACAGGGGACACAGGAAGGTCCTGGCCCGGAGGGGAGAGGAGGGAGAGACTGGGGAAGACCAGAGACAAGGACACGGGAAGCCATGCTCCGAAGACGGGGCAAGGAGGGGTGGCCAAGACGGTGGTGCCACAGGAGAGTCTCGTGAGACAGGAGGCGACAAGTACAGGGGCAGACTCAGGACCAGACCTGGACGCAGCAGCAAACACCTGACCCGACGCTGCTACCTGACCGGACGCGGGGACAGGAGGAGACTCAGTGGTCAGGGTGTAGAGGCTCGACCCCGGCCGACGCGAGAACGTGGCCAGGTGCCGGCCTGTGCGTGCGTCCGTGCAGTGGGTCACCCGCTGACTCGCAGGAGTGAACTGGTGAACCCCCGCATCCTGTAGGTCTGCACCACTCACAAGTTCGTCGAGAACGATGGGAGGTACAGGCCAGACAGGGTGCCCGAGGGGGCAGCCGGACACGGGGAGGACAGTGGAGAAGTGAGCGAGGACAGGACCCCCAGAGGGGTCAGGCAGGGAGACTGCAACCGGCCGACCAAGCGGCGTGAGTGTGGTGCGGTCCCGAAAGAAGGAGCGAGAAGCCCCAGAGTCAAGTGTAAAGGTGAGGGAGGCCGAAGCCAACGCGGTACTTGAGAGCGCAGCCTCACCGCACCTGAGGAAGCAGACTCACTAGCACTAGAGCAGCAGCCGCACCTGTACCTGGAGCAGGAGACTCACTAGCACCCAGAGCAGCAGCCTCACCAGTAGCTAGAGCAGCAGGTCCTATACCTGGGTCAGGCGGGACGCACAGGTGACCTGCACGGTCAGCACTAGTAGGCAATGCATACATGGCAGTGAGAATAGCATCATAGTCAAGAGCATATATATCTACCCTCTGCCTAAGCAACTCCACCCAGTCGGGAAGCTCAGCCTCGTCGCCAAACACGGTACGCCAGGCGTCGCTCAGACGGGCGAAGCAGCGGGACGGTGTATGACTACGTGTCCCACAAGGCTGACCAGTCCGAGTACCAGTGCGAATCACGTAAGAGCAGCGAACAGCACTGAGAGACCCTCCACTCTGAGCGTACCACTCACGAAGCTGGCGAGGCGTGAGAGACACGCGAGAGGGTCGCGGGAGCTGCATCTGGCCGCCACCCACGAGTAGAAGCAGCAGGAGTGGTAGTAGGAGTAGCGTCGCCCACCCCTACAGCCCCAACCAGCGTACCACTCACGCAGCTGCTGCGGGCGTGAGGGACTCACGCCGGCGTCGCTGGGGCTGCATTTGGCTCCGCAAGTAGAAGCAGGAGCAGGACTAGCAGCAGGGAGGCAGGCAGCCAGGCAAGCCAAAAGGCAGGCAGGCAGGCAAGCAGGCGACGCGCAGCGTGCTAGCAGGGCAAGAGCTCACCAGTGGTGGGAAGAGTAGGTTCGGCGACTCAGCGGCTCGGCAGCTCGGCGGCTCGGGCGACTCGGGCGGCTCGGCGGCAAGGCGGCTCAGCAGCAACTGCAGCTCAGTAGCTCGGTGACTCGGCGGCTTGGCGGCAGGGCGGCTCGGGCAGCAACTGCAGCTCAGCAGCTCAGCGACCCGGCGGCTCGGCGGCAGGGCGGCTCGGCTGTGGGGCGGCTCGGCTGCTGCAGTGGGAGATGAAGGAGGAGGAGAAGCAGGGGAGGCCACACACCTGTCACCCCTCTGCTGCGGCCCCCGAAGGAGCCGCGACGGGCGACGGGAAAAGGGGGGGTGGGTGGTGGGGGCCGGTAGGTGCAGCGGCGGGGCCAGCAGGTGCAGTTGCGGGGCCGGTAGAAGGGGACGGCAGGAGCCGTCAGGAGGGGACGGCGGGGCCGTCAGGAAGGGACGGCGGGGCCGTCAGGAGGTGACCGGGCCGCGACGGGGGCAGGCGGCGGGGCCGCGTAAGGGCCTGGGCGGGGCCGCGACAGAGCCGTCGGCGGGCCGCGTGAAAGCCGGGGCGGGGCCGCGTAGAAGCCGGGGCGGGGGGCGCGCGAGAGCAGGCGGCGGGGGCCGCGAAGGAGCCGGGGCGGGGGCTGGACGCGGTGAGAGCAGGCGGCGGAAGCCGCGTAAGGGCCTGGGCGGGGCCGCGACAAAGCCGTCGGCGTGGGCCGCGTGAAAGCCGGGGCGGGCCCGCGTAGAAGCCGGGGCGGGGCCGCGCGAGAGCAGGCGGCGGGGGCCGCGAAGGAGCCGGGGCGGGGCCGCGTGAGAGCAGGCGGCGGAGCCGCGTAAGGGCCCTGGGCGGGGCCGCGACAAAGCCGTTGGCGGGGCCGCGTGAAAGCCGGGGCGGGCCGCGTAGAAGCCGGGCGGGGCCGCGCGAGAGCAGGCGGCGTGGGCCGCGAAGGAGCCGGGCGGGGCCGCGTGAGAGCAGGCGGCGGGGCCGCGACAGAGAGGGCGGCGGGGCCGCGTCAGTGAAGGCGGCGGGGCCGCAGGGGAAATGGCGACCCGCAGGAAACCCTAGAATTGTGTACCCCCTATAGGCTAACCCACTGTAGCCTACACAAGCATAACATATATAATGTTTGACAGGGACCTGCACAGACACACAACAGCAACAACGGATCGACACCCATGAGCCTTGACGGATCGTCATATGCGCGAGGGAATCAACAGCAGCAACCCACCTTTGCCCCGTACGAGCGCCGGGTCGATCAGCTTCCTGCCTCAACCTTCACCTGCGCAAGACAACCAATGGACGCTTTACAAGTTCAGTCACAATTCGCGCATGTCCTGAAACTGCAAACATCAAGACCCTTCGACGGAAAGGACTGTCAGATTTATATGACATAGTTTCTGTAGGCTTTAGTGGGGTAGCACATATGGGGTACAGGGTTTCTAGGGTTGTATTTGTACCCAATCTTCCATAGTCATTTCATTCCTGTTTTCCTTGTTTCACATGGTATAGAGCGGGGTCCTACCTTAGGACCGTTTTTTTTTAGGGCCCACTGAAGGGCGCCCCGAGGCGGCGCCTTTTTTTTTAGCGACCCCTCGGGTCGCCTTTTCCCTCGCGGCCCCGCTGTCCCTCAGACGCGGCCCCGCCACCTCTCCTGATCGCGGCCCCGCCGCCCTGTTTGACGCGGCCCCGCCGCCTCCCCTGACGCGGCTCCGCCGCCTCCCCCTGACGCGGCCCCGCCGCCTGTTTGACGCGGCCCCGCCGCCTTCCCTGACGCGGCCCCGCCGCCCCCCTGACGCGGCTCCGCCGCCTCCCCTGACGCGGCACCGCCGCCTCCCCTGACGCGGCTCCGCCGCCTCCCCTGACGCGGCCCTGCCGCCTCCCCTGACTCGGCTCCGCCGCCTCCCCTGCCGGCCCGCCGCTGCTCCTGTCGGCCCGCCACTGCACCTGCCGGCCCGCCGCTGCAACCCAGCGGCCCGCCGCCTCTGACGGCCTCGACGCTGCACCTGCCGCCCGCCGCCTTGACGGCCTCGCCGCTGCACCTGCCGGCCCGCCACTGCACCCTACAGCCGCCGCCTGCACCTGCCGGCCCGCCACTGCACCTGCCGGCCCGCCACTGCACCTGCCGGCCCGCCGCTGCACCTGCCGGCCCGCCACTGCACCGGTCCACCCGCCGCTGCACCTGACGGCCCCGCCCCTGGATCTCCTGGCCGAGCCGCCCCAGCAGCCGAACCGCCCGTAAGCCGAGCCGCCCGACGCCGAGCCGCCCGGGACCCGAGCCGCCCAACCGCCGAGCCGCCCGGGAGCCGAGCCGCTCTGCACCCGAGCCGCCCAACCGCCGAGCCGCCCGGAAGCCGAGCCGCCCGGGAGCCGAGCCGCCCGGGAGCGAGCCGCCCTGCGCCCGAGCCGCCCAGCACCCGAGCCGCCAGGTCGCTGAGCCGCCTTTCTGCATACCTACTCGACCTGCCCTGCCTGGTGAGCACAGTCCCACTGCCACTGCGAGCTCTTTCCCTGCTGCTTGCACTGCGTCGCTGTCGTCGCCATGACTACCCCTAGTGTCCTAGCTTTTGACGCTGAGGGTCGCGCCATTGATTTTGAGGTCTGGTTAGACGACCTGCAGCTGTTCTTACAGTGCGACAGGGCTGACGACCTTCTCTCTTTGATCTCACCTCTGGCGCCTCTCCTACTCCTGCTGCTGATGCTGATCCCGCTGTCCGCTCTAAGTGGGCCACCCGCGATGCTGCTGCACGTCTTGCTGTGCGTCGCCACCTCCCTACCTCTGAGCGTGCGCACTTTAGTCAGTACAAGAGTGCTCAGACCTTGTACGACGCTGTAGTTGCGCGCTACTCCTCCCCTGCCACTGCTGCACTGAGCCGTCTCATGCTTCCCTACCCTTTCCTGACCTCTCTGCCTTTCCCACTGTCGCTGACCTCATTACGCACCTCCGCACTAGTGACACTCGCTACCGCGCCGCCCTTCTGCTGAGTTCTGCGCTAAGAACCCCCCCCCCATGTACATCGCTCTCTACTACGTAGTCGCGCGCCTCCCTGACTCCCTTCGAGTCGTCAGGGACCACTTTCTCGCAGTCTGTCCCACCACCCTCACCGTCGACCTCCTCGAGAAGGCCCTCCTTGCAGCGGAGAAGAGCATAGTCGCTGTAGGTGCTTCTCGTGGTGACCCTCGCACCCCCATCTTTGAGGGGTGCTCTCCTTCCCCCTTGCTGCCCTCTGTTGCCTCTGCTGCTGCTGCCGACCTGCTTGGTCTTGAGTCGGTCGGCGCGGCGTCTGCCCTAGTGGGAGACGTCGCTCCATCAAGGGCAAGGGGGGCAAGGGCGCGGGGGAGCTGGAGGGGGCGGTGGCGGTGGCGGCGGTGGCGGCGGAGGGAGTGGGGGTGGCGCCGGGACTAGTGGCGGGGGTGGTGGTGTGGTGGTGGTGGCAGCAGCGGCGGAGACGGTGGTGGTGGTGCCAGCGGTGGTGGTGGAGGCAGCGGCGGAGGTGGAGGCGGCGGAGGTGGAGGCGGTGGAGGCGGCAGCGGAGGAGCTAGTAGTGGGTGTAGGAGGTGGAGCTGGTCGGGGTGGTACCCAGCAGCGTAGCGGCGTGGTGGGGGTGGTGGGTGTGGACCGGCGCTCGCACCGGCAGCAGCAGCAGCGCTCGCGGGACATCCCTTCGCCTCAGCAGCTTCGTGAGTGGTACGCTGGGCGTCAGAGGGGTGGGGGTACTGGTCCCTGCACCTACGTTCTTCGTTCCGACGACCGCGGCGGTTGGCAGTGTGGGGGTGCCCACGCCACAGCGCTGCTTTGGCCGCCTGACGGACGCCTGGCGTCAGCAGTTCCCTGGGCTAGTGAGATCCCTCGCTGGGATGAGCTTCTCAGGGCTGGTGTAGCGATCTTTGATCTTGATTTTGATGCTATCCTTACTGCTATGT